AGATACCAAGTATTTCTACTGCTAATAGATTTTCACAAAATGCCATTCATTGTCTTGGTATAATTATTCTTATTGAAATAGAAGCCATGCATTTTATCACAACATATAGAGATGTGAGAAAACATGTATCAGATTTAAACAAAGTAATACTATTTTTGAATTTTTGATTGACATACTCTTTTTGCTGCTCTCTGAAGTCAGCTATGTCACTACAAGCACAAAAGCTTCTGATCAACATCTCAGTACATTCCATGATTGTTCTAATAACAATATAACAATATAACAAGATGAGTTATGAGCTGATATAAGGGAAAATAAAAGACTTGTGAAAAACAGTGTTGGGACTTTGAGGTTTATCAGAATTGAAAAGAATCAGTAAACCAAAAGCCAGCCACGCTAATATTATAGAATGATTGTTTATAGCTCAATACTTTTTTTTCTCTGAATGCACAGAAATAATTCATACATATACAAAACAAAAGAGATGGTAAGGATCAGCTTTTTGGCAATGGATCTTGACTTCCATTTTAAGCCTACTCTCATCATAACAAAGGCCTACAGAATATCACATGCAGAGACCTATGTTTCCAAATTTATTCAAATAACATTCCCATTTTTGAGAAACAAAAAAACCCCACAACATTAATAACTAATTTGAGTTGAGGCAGTAAGTTTAAAATAGAGAGAAAAAATGAAAAGTACAGGTCAAGCTAAAGCACTACTTTGTATACAACAATTTTAGTATGAATTCTATTACTGTCACAACATCTACGCAGCACTTCTAAGTTACAGTTTATGTTGGTGTTGATATTTTTGCACTACACAGCACTGCTATCTGTACATAAAGCCTCAATTATTTCCTGGTACCTCATAGGAGATAAGCTCTTCAATAGTCATCCAGTGAGGATTTGTTTATAGAGTGATAGTTATCATTGCAGGAGTGAGTGTGACCACTGCTTGCCATCTGTGTTGATAAAACATGAAGCAGACATGCAACAAGGATTCAACTTTTGATCACTGCTTTAGCCTTTCCAAAGTAATGTTGCACATCGTTATACACATCACAAAGGCATAGGCAATTATGCAAGATACTTCACAGAATTCATTTTTTCCTCGGAAATCTATGCATGTGAGACAGCAGCAGGGACGGAAATGACAATCCCAGTGCAGAGAGAGGACAACAGCAAGTTGCTCTCATTTAAATACTTAAGAGTACTTGCAGAAAAAACAAAAAACAAAAAACCAGAAAACAACAAAGCAGCAGTTATGGGAAAGATGAAAGCTAGAACAACAGACAGTATTGATGCTAATGAGTTAAGACCATCAGTGCAAATTCTCTGTTGGCCACATCTGTAGCACAATGAAGCTCAATTTGCAGAATGTTCCAAAAATAAAATGACAAATTAAGCAGAATCATCAAGTACAAGAACAGCTTCTGTGTTTCCTACTGAGAATCATATAGTACTGTGGAATACATGTAAATGCACATTGTATGTCACAGAGCCATTTTTGCTCCATAAAAATGCACCTATCTAAAATCTTGCTGGCATAAATGTAACATTTAAAGCATATCAGCAAAAGTAACAGCAAAATAAAATACATTTTGGATGCTGATTCTACTGAGTAACCTCACAAACTACTTGATGAACCAAAAATAAACAATATCTGCATAGATGTGTGACAAATGACAAAGATTTGTGGAGTGGTACCAATGAGATACTAGATGAAATAAAGACATACGTTGTATTTATACTAATAGCAAGATCAGAGAAAATAATATATGTCCCACTTACTGGCAGATAGTATAATGCCTTGAAACTGAGAGTGCTTCTGAGAAGACCTGTTTATAAGAAGAGACCAACTGAATGCATATATCTAACTGAAGTTGCCCCTAAAATTTTACAAGAATATAATTTTCACACAAACTAGAATGCTGGCATTAAAGACTGTTCTGCTTATCACAGAATCACCAAGGTTGGAAAAGACCTGTAAGATCATCCTGTCCAACCATCCATCTATCACCAATATTTCCCACTATACCATGTCCTTCAATACAACATATAAATTCTTCTTTAACTACATAAGGGACGGTGACTCCACTACCTCCCTGGGCAGCCTGTTCCAGCACAACTCCACTCATTCAGAGAATTTATTTCTAACGTCCAACTTGAATCTCCCTAGTACAACTTGAGGCCATTCCCTCTCATCCTATTGCTAGTTATAAGGGAGAAGTGGCTGACACCCATCTCAGCATCACTTCTCTTCAGGTAGTCATACAGAGCGATAAGGTCACCCCTGAGCCTCCTTTTCTACAGAAGAAATAATCCCAGTATCCTCAGCTGCTCCTCAAAAGGCTTGTGTTCCAGACCCCTCGCCAGCTTCATTGCTCTTCTTTTGAAAACACTTCAGGGCTTCAACATCTTTTTCCTAGTGAGGGGCCCAAAACTGAACACAGTACTCGAGGTGCAGCCTCACCAGGGCCAAGTATAGAGGGATGATCACCTGCCTGCTCTTGCTGGCAACACTACTTCTGATACAAGCCAGGATGCTATTGGCCTTCTTGGCCACCTGGGCACACTGCTGGCTCATGTTGAGCCAAGCATCAGCCAACATCCACAGGTCCATTCCCTCTACACAGTCTTCCATCCACTCATCCCAAACCAGTAGCACTGCCTAGGGCTTCAGCTAAAGTGCAGGACTTAGCACTGGGTCTTGCTAACATTCATCCCACTGGCCTCAACCCATGGATCCAGCCTGTCCAGTTCTTTCTGTAGGGCCTTCCTACCCCCAGGCAGATTGATACTTCCTGCCAGCTTGGTGTCATCTGCAAACTTACTGAGGATGAACTTAGTCCCATTGTACAGGTCATCAGTAAAGACAACGAACAGGAAAGACCCTAATACAGACACATGGGGAATACCACTTGTGACTGATCACCAGCTGAATTTAACCCCATCTATCACCACCCTCTGAAGAAGCAAAATTTTTTCTGATATGTTCTCAGCAATACCAGGTAATGCATTCACAGGTAGGCAAAGAGTCACATACAGAAAGAAGAATGAAATTCACCCAGCTAGCAAAGGTACTCTAGCTATGCAGCAGTCCTTCACAGGAAGCAGCCTAAGTCAAAGAAATAACTTCTCTCTGGTGGCTGGTCCTTGCATGAACCCAAGGTCCACCTTGGGTCCACCCCTTCTGGTCACATGGGGGACTTTTCACTAGGAGCTCAATCACCAGTTCAAGCTGTGACCTAACAGTACCCCAACATAGTCACAGAATAACTTTTGAGGACATCACAGAAGTACCTGGCCATAATTTCTGTTCATAACTTAATATTTATGTAAGAAATTAGGAACGAAAATGAAACAAGCTTCATAAATGTGTCTTGGTGAGAAAAATATTACTTATAATGATGGAGAGAAAATTTAGTCTAATTAGTTAATCAACTAGAAAGTGAAGAAGTAATGGACTTTGCAAATCCATGATTGTTTCTCTAACAGAAGTCTCTAAACTGATAAAAAGCAGATATCAGCCTTAGCAACTTGAAACTATTAACATTTGGTCAAATTCCATCTGGGAAAAGGGCTTCTATCTTAAGGATCTTATGAAGTCCATATCAAGAAAAATGATTTCATTAATTATCTTAAAGAAGTGTACTACTACACTTGTGTAGTAATGCCACGCATAGTTTTGTGGAGTGAAAGAGTGACATCTCTGTTATGGCAAAATGAGGACACATGCCCCTTCCAATACTCTTACAAACGGAGTTGGAGAAGTAGGATATTGGAAGAATTTCTAAAGACCTCAAATATAGCAAGAAGCTGTATAAACTTTAAGCCAGTGTAGGTTATGAATCACAGAGCAATGTGTTGCTTGTTTGTTTGTTTGTTTTTCTTGGGAGAGACACAACTAATCATGTCAGTAACCATATCTTGCAATTGTTTTCTTGATTAACTGCCACATCAAACTCTCAATGGGGAAAATGCCACACTTAAAACTACAGGAATTATGCTGAATGAAAATGTTATATACAGCTCTTGACAAAGGTTTGGTTACATAGTCTCCAAAACAGGTCAGTAATTTGTCACATCAGCCTTTCTATGGAACACCAACCTCTTTATTGTGGTTCACTGCACATACAGCCCTTGGGAGTCCAATACTAATAGTGTGCAGACAGTGCTAAGGCACACAATCCAAACTACCTTATTATAGATCTACTTTGAAGAAACGCTTACATATTTAGAGCGAAACAACCATTACATGTAGAAAAACAAAAATCTATAACAGGAATCCAAAAGCCAAAGGGGTGTTTTCAAGTAATACTATCAACATTATCTTTAAGAAGCAGCCCAGAAAACCATACAGCTGACAGATTACATCAGATGCAGTTGATTGCAAGGCTGTATAAATGGATGTCATTACACGAACACTATTAGTGGTAAAGGCTCTGTGTGAAAGAACCGCATATTTGCATGGGAACATTATTTAAAACTAAGCATATGGCAGGCCTCCAATTTTACATCTTTATATCATCTGCAGTAGACTCCAGAAGTAAATGACAGCAATGCCTGAGGTCTCAAGCTTTTTAAGTTGGTAAATGCTCTGGGGAATTTCTACTATTTTTTTTTTTTTTGAATTTGTGGGAAGCTAAGGATACCTAGTGCCTTGTTGGGATCCTTAATACAATTTTCACTCTATAAAGCTTTAAGAATGTGTGACAAAGTAAAGATGAAATGAATTAAAACAAGTAGACAATATTTTCCTTATGGATGAACTAATAAAGTCATAGAAATCATAACATAAAGTCAACTTGCTGGCAATTACAAAAGTACCTATTCTGTTCAATATGCCTGTAAGGGAACTGTTATGTTACAGCCTGAAGTGATGATTGAGCACCTGATGAAGGGCGGGGAGCTGGAAGCACAGATGCAAGCAATGTACCAGAATTGCAATTGACCGAAAGGAGTTGACCTAGGTTTCTATTCCTCCCTGTGTTCATTTATGAGCTAGCCTCTGAAAAGAGGATCTCTTTTGTATGAAGGCTGCTTCTTGAGAAGAAGGAGTTTGTAGTTAGATACTCTATCATCAGTTTGGTGAATCAATCTTTTCCAGTATGTATTTATTGATATTCCTAATGGTACTTTGTCTGGTATTGCAAAGAATTTATCAGAAGAAAATGTACTTCTTCCAAAATGTTTCTTCCAAGAGCTGATTATGTCTTAGGTAAGTTACCCCCAGATCTCCAGCATTTTATTGGTTGGAAACCTATTTCAAATTGATAAATATAAGATCAGTTTGCTTTTCAACTCTTTAAATCTTGGCTATGTTTCCTATACGTAACTCTAATGTAGTCTGTGAGGAGGGGGGGGGAGGGGGGAAGAAATGTCACATTCAAAATTCCTGTTCAGACACTTTAAACGTTCAATGGGTGTACAAATTCTGTATGAAGTCTTAAGTCTTCAGCTTAACACGAGGTTTGGAAACATTTTACCCTGGGTTAAAAAAAGGAAAACATACTGTTGTGAGATCATAAAGACTGAGTACAGATTTGTTGCTCACTTCTACGTGCTATATAGGACACTATTTTTCTCAAAATTTAGGTGAAATCAGATAAGACACTTCACACACTCTTTATTTTTTGTCATAGAATACCATAGATCTAAAATAGCCAGTGTGGAGATGTTCTGCCTTGACAGTATTCTGTGATCAGATGTACTATTATTACTTGTTTTCTTCACAAAATAACGTTTAGCAAAATCAGGTAAACAAGCAACGGGTCAGAGAAGGCCAGAAAAAAATTGCTCCATTTCAAATAAACTTCAGTAGCTGCAAGGGAAGACTTATCAAAGCATTCTTATAAAATTCTGAAAATTTAGTAAGTCTGAAGTTTAGGTTACATGAAAACCCTGCAGCCTGGAATAGAAGGGAAGGAAATACCGAACAGTGAAAGGAAGTGGTATTCCATTTTGAGTTTTTATTTACAAAATATAATTGTCCTTTATAGTGAAGTTAAGAAAAAATCAAACAACCAAACAAGGTGGAATTGCATCAATTTTGCTAGTTCAGAGTTTAAAAGAGCATACAGACCCATAACTGATTTATGTGCTCAGATATGTTTATCTAAACTAATTTCACATTCTTCATTTATTTTCAGTGTTGCTTGTTGTCCCAATTTCTTTTTTTGCATACTGGTTTGGAAGTAGATCAAGTAGAACTGAAATGAAGCAAGTTCAAAACCATGCGGATCAATGCCCAAATGGAGGAAAAGAAAAGAAAGATCTGGTAGGGTTTTTTTAACCAGTTTGCACCAGAAAAGTCATTGGCTTTTGGAAATAACTGTGTTGGCTGTGGCATAAAGACTTCATTTTAAAACTAAACTGGTCAAACAGCCTGTTGTAAAATGGAAAGTTCTGCTCCCCTCCATGCTCCTTTCCCTTGCTTTGAGAACTGAATGAGCAGGAACCAGTTCATGGAACTGAACTGGAAACCCACAGAAAACAGTTTTCAACTCGTTAGGTTTCAAACTCAGATTGGTTTACTACAGGGTATGATGACACTCAGAGTCTCATTTTTGCATAGAGTGCAAAAATGCAAAAAACCATGAATGCAGAATAAGCAGTACAGGCACCCATTTTGGTCCAACTGGTCACTAGTCTGGATTATCTAAGGAAACCTTTTCATAATGTCATTGCAAAAAATAAATCAATAAAATAACTTGGCAGCGTGCCCTCCAGCAGCATTTGCAGAAGATATCATCACCTCCTCTAAAATACCCGGATGTTATTCAATGTGTTATATGAGCAGATCTGATGTTTCTACAGTTGCAAACATTTTTTTATTTTACTGCATCTTTGTTTCTCCAGCTCTATGCATCATGTTATAGAATATCTGAGACTAAAATGGGGTGTCAAAATCAAAACTTCTTGAATCAGCACCATGATCATCGGTGAATAATCCAAAGAACATTCAGTACTACTGAAAATCAGATTCCCCAAAAACAGATAGCTATTACCTACTTTTTACGTTTTGCTTGTAGAAGTCTCTTTTCTTGCACAGAGGATCTGGCATGCGGCAAAATGTCTTCCACTATCCTGGCTGAATGTCATTCATTTCTCTTTAGCAGTACCAAAATAATGGAAAAAGTCTCTTGCTTCTGTTTACAGATATTTCTCCCTGATACTGAAAAAGATTGTGACTGATTTTGGAGAGTGTAACAAACTGATAGGACGGAAATGCACTGAGCTGTTTCAAGAGTTTTCTGTGTGACAGTTCACGTAAAATAGATGTGATTTTTGGATTCATTTTCATTTAATGTCTCCAACAATTGAAGTCTTACATTAATGTTTGAAATTGCTTCTGCATGTTGTTTCAGTTTGTTTTGCAAAATACATGATACAGGATATGAAGATATTTCAGATAGCATTGCATGAAAAGGTGGTGTTGAATGTAGATGCAATTCTTGAGTATCATAAAGCTTTCTCTTTTCTTCCTGCAATCCTTGCCAGCACTCAAAGCCCAGGTAAAAGTCATTTTGAAGTTTTCTCTTGAGAGTGTAACAATCAGAGGAAAAAAAATAGCCTTGACTCTAATTGAGGGAGATTGAGTCTCTTTGAAGGATCTTCCTATTGCTTGAAGAAGAAAAGAGACAAAAAGTAGAGTAACACCTGTGTGGTTTGCAGTACCTCCAAGGAACTGTGAAAAACAAGTGCCACCGGTTCCACTGAAGGGCACAGAGCTGCACTGTCCCCTCACCAAGAGCTTCGTGTCCTCAGAACCCTGCCCCCGCTGAGCCGCGTGCAGAGGGTAACGCAATTCCTCACCCTTACAGTGCTCAGGGGTTGCTGGTGTGCTGGAATGCAGGCTTGGACTGGCCCTGAGGAGGAGAGGTGATGCGGTCTCTGCAGCCTTGTTTTGCTGAGAGCCGCGAGCCTCGCAGAGCTCTGCGGGGCTGCCCTGCAAAGCGGGAAGTCAGCACCTCTCGGAAGTGGCACGAGGCTGCCGTGCGCCGATACCTGACGCCATCTCAGGATCGCACGTGTGGCAGCGTTGCCATGACAGCAGGTCCTCACCATAACCTCCCTGAGGCCTCGCCTGCTCCAGGCAGAAAAAGCTGTGAAAAGCAGCCAGTACCATCCCTGGTTGGGCTTATGGAAGGAGTTTTAATAGACATCCCTGAGCTGAGTGAGACCTGTGTGGTTTGCTGCCTGAATGCAAGCTGATTTGCTCCAGGAGAGGCTGCCGATGTGCTGGCCAAATGCCCTCTGTAAGCAGAAATGGGAGGAGAAAGGAAAGAAAATCTTTGAGAATCCCTTTGCTGTTTGTGCTCAAGGCAAGTATTTGAGCACTTTCTGCTATACCCAAGCAACATATGGGGGTGGGAGGGGGGAGGAGAGAGAGAGAGAGAGAGAGAGAAGAGAGAAAGAAAAGCCAAACTGGGGTGCTTTCAAATTTGTGATGGAGCAGAGAAGTCCTTGTGAGAGCTGGGAGGGGGCAGGTGGCACAACATGGCGTGGCTGTGCTCCAAAGCATGCAGAGATCAGGCTTCTCCAAGCTCCTGCACAACATGCTTGTCCTCTGATGCTGCCATGCCTGTGCTGATGACACAAACTGATTAGATTTGAAGCTAAGATTATGTAGTGACACATCCTGCATTTCCAGAATTTTGTCTGTTTGAATGTCAGGTAATTAAATTACAGCGCATTGCATTGTATCAATTCTAAATCATGTTTCAATATCTTCACCACATGTATTAGTCCATTATGCCATTTAACTCTGTTGAGCAGAAGTTTCATATTCCTGTACAACTCTCAAGCAGATAGGATGAAAATAAACATAATTTTGTTTTAATACAACACAAGAACATCCTAGCAAGTAAAATCAAAGGTCTTTCACAGTAATCGCTGTGAAGATAAGAGTAGGGTAAGGGTACTTCCACTTCATATACTTTTAGTCCCACTGACATTTTGTGTTGAGGGGACGTGTTAGGCTGGTAGTAGCTTTATTTATTTAGTAACTATCTGATCATCTTGTCTCTCTCCTTGAATCAGCATACCCAGTAGTATCTAATAAATTGCAACTTCTGTTGGTGAGTTTCACTGATCTATTTTTTGACACATTCTACATAAGATTTCACAGACTTCACTAGCAGAAGTTGTAAGTTTGTTAAAGGTTACATCTTTTGTAAAAGTAAGCGGAATTGTAATTTTGATTTAGTCTGCTGACAAATCTTAAAGCAAGAAGACCTCTCTTCTCTTTCTCTGTATAATACCTAATTAAGCTGAAATGAAGACATGACATGTCTCATGGCAGATGTTCACCTTCCTTTGTGGTTGCATACATGTAAGGCAGCCAGATGGTCTTGCCTTTTGTGGATGGACAAACCACCCCTTTTGTAATGACTGCAAATTAGCCAAACTTACTTAATTCCTCCCCAAGCTAAAATAGAAGTAAAATAGCTTGTACTGAGCTCTAGTAGTAGAATTAAACCTCAAGTGATCTAGTGAATTCTATCAAGAGCCAGTTGTACTTCTAGTGCAGACAAAGTACACATTTGTTTGGGTTTTTTTAGGCCTTGTTATGTAACCAGTGTGCTTCAACACAGAATGCAAACTCTTTCTTCCCTCCAGCTTGCAGTGTGTCAAGCTGAATTTCTGGGAGGATCACCTTTTAGCATTTTCACTGAATTTTTACTCCTATATATCCCAAATACAGACCTAAATGCTTACTGGCATTTTTTGGGGGGGGATGAGCCATTTTAAGCCTAAGTGATGATCCATTATAGCATCTTTTTCTTCCATTTTCTAAGTCATGTGGAAGGTGTTCAAGAAACATGTAGCTGTGGCACTTAGGGGCATGGTTTAGTGCATGTGGTGGTGATGGGTTGATTGTTGTACAAGATGATCTTAGATGTTTTTTTCTAGCCTTAATGATTCCATGATTCTATTTTTTTCCATTCTCTAACAACAAAATAAAATAAATTTAAAGGCTAGTCCTAGGTACAGAAGGACTGTTTTCCAAGAAACCTAAAAATCCAGATTTTTATACTCAAAGTTACACCAGTACACATGGTATAGAAACTTTACGTTGTTTGTAAAAAAACAAAGATTGAAGCTAAGTCACTTCCAAATCTCAACCTGAAAAATTACATTTACTCATTTGGGTAGGTTTTCTTCTGTTTGATTTTCCTTGTGCCTATTTATTTATTTATTTATTTATTTATTATATAATTTGAGAACCTTGTCATTCCTCAGTTGCTTCTGCTGTGGTATGCTGATGTTGAAAAAAAAAGCTTAAAGTATATTTGTTACTTTTATTTCATTTCTCAGGGCATGATTCCTTAGTAGACTGCAGTGAAAGCTTGTTCATTAAATTTTTATTTATATCGAGCAGTCAGTATAATAAAAATAACCAGACTCCACAGTGTAAGTTAGTTTCCAAAACTGGTTTTGTCCTCACTGTTTGTCTTGGATTACTTCATCCACTCCCAAATGCTTCTTTACCCACACACCCTGCTACTTTGTAGTTTGAGCACCTTGCAACTGTAGTGTTGTAGTGAACTAACTTTTCAAGCAGTTTTTTTTCACATGCCTGTACAATATAAATTAGAAATGAGCTTTCTTCTGTTTTGTTTTGTGTTTTGTTTTGTTTAGATACCATGAAGCTCTCTTTAGGGATGATTCAAGTCCAAACACCATAATTCAGACATAGTTTTTATAGAAAGGTGGAAAAGAGAGAGCAAGTAGGTAGCTATAAAATGGATACTAAACATCTGATTGAAGCAGTATAGTGGACAAGGGTATCACTTCCCTAGGACAGAATACCAGCTGTGAAGGAAATTTTGGTTGAGTGGTTGAATAGGTTATGACAATAAATCAACATGTGCTGAATTGTGTTCATTTTAGGTGTGGATCCTAATCTGACGTGACTGCATAAATCAAGAGCAGTGTTATGGATGACTGTAGACTCGCACTGGAATAATAGCAGGTAAGTGAAAGAATAGCTGCCTCTGCTGATAGTCAGAGATTCCAAAGAGAATCCCTAAGTATACACACACTTTTATTGACTGTGTTGTGTAGGAGGGGACTGAAATGAATGCATGTCAGGTGAAGAGAGGGCAGAAGGGGCGTATGCCTGAGGGTGCTGAAGTATCACTGCATTGCTGGCAATTAAAATTTGCATTAGTACTTGTAGTCTGTTACAGTTGAGATTTTAACAATTAATTTGAAGTAATTCTTATGAACCTCCTCTCTAATGTACAGAATCTTCATGTATTTTATTTTACTAATATCTGGATTGCAAACATTGCAAGTGTGTGCCAATACCCCTGTGAATAGCAGTTCGATAAGACCATGAGGGAAAACAAATGTTTACAAATGGTAAGACATGGTCTGCATCTTCCACTATTCTCCTATACCCAGTTTTGGATGAAACTGAAGGGAAACTTATTTGATGATCATCTGAGTGTGTGGCTGTAATTCACACCAAATTCACACTGAAGTTTCTAAGAGCATTTCCATCAGCCTGGAACTTGGAAATTTAAATTAAGATAAATAATAATGTCTTTAATGTCATTCATTATTTGACAAAGGTTAGGGAAATTAAAATCCTTCTTAGTTTTTCTGCTAAAAGAAACAAAGAGAAAAATTTGCAAGTGTAAAGAATGTTCTTAGTAGCTCCATATTGGATTCCTCCTTCAGATCAATGAATGAAGTTTATGGTGGGAAGGTACAGAATGCATGGTTTCTGAAAATCCAGCAACTGTAGGATCACAATAATTATCAAATTTCTTTCTCGTAAGTCATGGCCATATTTTTCTCCTCTGCTGCTTTTTCCTCTATTTACTGGTGTAAAGGACTAATGAATAGGATGTGGAAATTGTCCACTTTATTTATTTATTTATTTATTTATTTATTTATTTATTTATTTTAGTATACTACAGAAAATCATATAGGGGAAAACTTTTGGTTCTTTATTCAGAGTAAGTATCCAGTAACTTACCCTGTTTCAATTTCTGTTGGCATCAGTGGGATTAATCTGCAGAATGTTTTAAGCAAAATGAACATGGAGAAGTTCTGGTTCCTGAGATTATTCTTTTGCTCAGTGTCTCTCATGTCTTCCATCTCCCTGATTTAATCTTCTGATGCACTGATTTGTGTAGATATAAATGGAAATATTGAAACAAGTGAAAATTGTTGTCATTCTTTTACTATGAAGAAAGAGCTCCATGCAAATTCTGCTACTGGAGCCAGTACCTAAATTTGAGTTATGTTTATGAATTCCACAAAGAGAATATTACATTACAGTTTCAATCTCTAGCTTCCAAGTGCAGACATGGATATTACCAGAGTCAGCTCAAAGCTATCAATCATTAGAAAGCTTATTGAGTGTTCAAAATAGTTCTATCAATATCTCATTTGCTGTCTGATCTAATGCATAGCCTCTAATGCCAACGCAGTGACTCCATCTTTCAAATGATAAAACATGATTTCTTACAAGCGTTTGTGAGAGGCTTATATTTTTATGTTTGGCCCATTGAGTTAGATGGATGAGTTTGTCCTACTTTGCTGCTCAGCTGATAGCCGTGAAGAAAAATTGCTCTTACAACATGTATTTCAAGACCATGTAAGAGGAATATCAAAAGAAACACTTCAATTAAACATTTCTCAAAGTGAGAAATACTCATATTGTCTATGTTAAATGGCAAGCATTGTGTTTATTAGATAGAATCAAAACCTTAAATATATAATGTGATATATGATAAAGATAAAACAAGGCAGTGGTTATAAAACTCAGCTCCAGATCTTGCTCAAGCTTTAACCTCATTTTTACATGGAGACTTATCATAGTATAATGATAAGTAGGAACCATGACACGAGTGTAGGTGGCTTCGCCCTTTCAGGATTGCTGGAAAGCTTTTGCAGTCACCCTGCACCACGTTATGTTTTGGATATCACATATGAGCAGATTCAAATCCTTCTCAGTCATCTCATGAATCTAGATTGATTATCTGGGAGTCAATGAATGTACCATATGATGATTTTCAGACCAAAAGATATATAAGATGGGCAGAGATATATTTATGTTCTTTGCAATTCAGTGGCTGGCACAGCTGAGCTAATGTTTAGGGGCAGGAGGGTTAATGATTTGCTGCTGATATAGGCCAGCAGCTAATTACTTTCTCTCTACAACAACAGGGAAGCAGGATGGAATTGCCTCTGACTAATTTGCAGTCACTGTGGTGGAATGCTTTGTGCAGAAGCATGCTGTTCTAGACTGTGTCATGGTGACACTGTCTAGCCCTTAGTAAAATATGCAAACACTAAGCACTGGTAATGTCTTAAGGGGATGAGAATGCTTTGCTTCACTAGGAAATATATGCTGACAGTATATGCTAAAGTAAACTTTTCCATACTCTCTGGCATCTGAAAAAGTGTAAGAAGATTAGAGTCACAAGAAAGCAGATGCCACAGAAGTGTACAAGCCTTCAATACTGTGTTCTGGATACATCCAAAGTCAAAGTCTGTGTGTCTTTACATAAAATTGTAAGCTAATTAACTCCTCTCAGGTGCAAGTATGAAATTATGAAATTGAAAGCAGATTTCTTATGAGATGTATTTCAAACTTTTGATTAGACTTTAGCAGCAGGTAAGCTGTGTGTAGTCTGAGCCAAAGCTGGAACCTGGGATGAGCAGTCATGCAATGAAATTATTTTAAGATGACTTGATGATATGCACTTTAAAAATGGCCAAATAGAGGTGTTTAGGAAAGCCTGTTTTTTATCTCTCTCTCCAGAGAGCAGATCAGTGTTCCTCTGGAAAAACAAAACAAACAAACGTGAAGTTTATTTTCCTAGAATTGGGATTAAAATTTCTCAATTCTTAAAACCAAAACCAACAGCCTTTCAGAAATCCATTCTCAATTTTATAATTTTTGAATATTCCCCTTACCTTTTTTTTCCCCCTCATTTTAGAACTAAATATGCAAAACTTTAAAATTTTAAATAGCTTTTAGAATGGAATGATTAAAAAATGTAAAGATACTGATGCAACTTCAAAAATGAGTTTAAGAAAAAACATATTTGAACATACTTGTTTTGGACCAGAATCATCCCTTCATGAAAATCACAACGTAAGAAAGCAAAATTTGGAAGTGATGGGTGTTTAGCTCCCAGTGATCTGCTTTAGTGCCTTTTCTAGTTTAAAATAATAATAATAAAAAAGTGGTTTTATATATATGTGTGTGTGTGTGTGTGTGTGTGTGTGTGTGTGTGTGTGTGTGTGTGAATAAAGTCCCATGTTTCTAAGACGTGCTGTCTTTTCACTAGCATAGGATTCAGTATTTCAAATGAACAAACATCTGTTGCTACAATGTTTGAAGAAAAAAAAAATCAGTTTGAATTTTCTGTGTTGTAATAACCTTATTTGCAACTTGGAATACTATAGCTTTGTGCTGTCACTGAGACTTTGGTATTACATAAGTTAGTTCAGATCTGGATTATGTTGTATTTCACGTGTTGTCAATAGAACTGATATTGTAAATCAGTTAAATAATTAAAGTGAATGCAGAAGAATCCATATGTAATCAGGGCAAGGAAATCTGTGCTTTTGATCAGAAGCATACAGGAATGTTGAACAGCAAATGGATGTTATAAAAACCACAGATCAGTAAGTGCAGAAAGTCCTCAAGAGAGCAAGTTACACAGACCTGAAAAAGTAATGTAAGTCTTATGTTGCTTCCCAGAGAGAATGGCTAGGACTGGCCCTTGAGAGTTTTTACAGTAACAGCTGCAGCAGAGATATAGAATTTGGAAGTAATCATGAATAAATAGGAGTGCTTGAAGTGATAAAAAGTTGAATACTATCACATATTTATACAAAACAAATACGCAATGCTTTTTCTGTTTCCTCTGCCTGAGGAAACACAGCACACCTCAGCACAGAGCTGAAGTGTCCGTGTTAAGCGATTGTTTGTGGCTGATGTGCAAGAGTAATAGACGAGTTTTTTTCCATATGTATCTGTGTGTATAGGTTCTGGTGAGAAGGTGTGCAGCACAGTGCTGCCATGGTTAGGTTATTTCCTAGAATCCACAACCAAACTCTTAATGCGTTCTGATTAGGTTCTGTGTAAAGATCATGGCAAGACTCTGCCTTTTTCCTTTGCCTTAGTTTGGAAGAACAGGGGAATTATGGAATAAAAAGTGAATAAAAATAACACTTCTAGCAGAATTTTTCTTGGCTATTTAAAGGGCTTAAACATTCATAGAATCATAGAATTCATAGAACTGTATAATTCAAAATGCTTTTATAAGCCTTTTCACATTTTATTTTGGCTATTTTATGCAGGAAAATAATATGGAGTTGATCATAGCTCTTGGATGCATTCAGTGTAACACTGTAAAATTTTTTTACCTGGTGCATGACTTCCACCTGCAACAGAAAATGTGACACTGTTATTAAGAGTGCCGAACAGGGTACTGAGAGGACACAAAATGCTGCACCTAAGACTTTCATTATGTAAATTTTGGAGAACAACAAAACCTTTCATATACAAATATTTGCAATTTCAAGCAGTATAACATTTATTTACAAGTACATATGTGTGTTTCCATTCATGGATGTAGTTTAGTTGTGTGAAGGAATCTCTGTATAAAGCATGATGAGCTAGTCAAAACATTGTGATGCATCTGTTCTGAAGGGTCTGCAATTTCATAATAGTGACCCTAAAGTTGTATTAGGATATTTGGATTGTGAAGCATTATGAAAGGTTGTATCCTTTTTAAGGTGAGGCATGTTGAGCATGTTGAGAAGTGATGTTGGCACTCTACAGAAAAACATGTCAAAAGAAAGACAGTACCTAAGTTTGTGAAGAGAGTCAAAGTATAATATTCAGAAAGTGCTTGGACTTGGATTGCAAAGTCAGCTTCTATAAGCTCTGTATACTTTTCATGCCTGCTTGAAAAACAGAGATTCTGAAAGCGTGCAGAAGCATCAGTAATCACTTAGTAGCCTCTGGGGCTGAACCAAGAAGCTACTGGAGATGTGAAGGAATCCTGAACTGAAGTATGTGCTACAAACGTGTCTTCTGTTTTTAAATGCTGCAGGACCATTCAGTTACACTAAAATCTAAGTACTGAAATGTAATGTCAGGTCTAGTGAGAGAGTTATCATTGCTGTCAACAGAAGTAAGCTCTGAGAACCTGTTCTACATTTCTTGTTCTTGTGTGTGATTTTTGTATTTCTGTGTATGTTTGTTTTTACCATACACATGAATACAGATCCTTTTTATCTAGTGTTCTTCAGGATTGAAGTGTTAGGATCTTAGGGCTTGCAATAGAGATTTGATTATGCCACAGAATAGTAAGACCATTGAGAAAGAATTTGGTGGTGAAGCACCTCCAGCTATACTGAATTATAAGTGAATTAATGGAAGAAGATGGAAGTTAAGAGTAGTGTCCTTTACAGTTCTGTGGTGTTTTGGAAAGGTTTAACCCTAACAGATGAAGTGAAGATGATAAATCAGACTGTCAGTTTTGACCAATCAAGCAATGAAATGGCAATAAGAGGAAAGTACTGTCCAGTTTGATCCTTTTCCTTTTCTTTTCAAATTTGCAACAAAAATTTGCCAGCAATTGCTACTTTCTTTAAGAGACTGTCAATTATTCTCTTTTGAGATGCTTTACATCCTGTATAGAATTATTATTATTATTAATTTGTAAGAGGGGTAAGGAATGTTTCCTCTGAATTGTCAACTGCAGTAGAAAGAGACAGTAGTTTAGCTTGAATAAGAATTGATGAGGGTGTTTTATCTAAACTGTTCAACTGCACTTTTGTTTGGGCTTACTTTATATGTGTATGTGGATATGCTCTAGGAAATCAGTTACTGAAGAATCCCTCTTTATGTTATTTACCAGTAAATGACCTGTTCATTTAGAGGAAAAAAAAAAAAAAAAAGAGAGAATTTAAGGAGGCAGTTGCTTTTTTTTTTTTTTTAAACAAACGATCATGTGTAATCTCTCAGATGGGAGTGGGAGTTGAAAGGATCATCTTTCTTACTTATTACCATCTGACAATAATTTCTTCCACTGAAGTCTGTGGATATGCTTTGTCTGACTTAAGCTACTAATGAAAATTTCATCCTGACATACGCAGCATAAGGAAGTACACTTTATGAGACTCAGAAACATCTCTATCTGAACAGAATCAGTTTTCTGATGGAATTGTAAACCACTTGTGGGTGACTGTTGGGAGTGATGGGTGCTTGACAGAAGACTACAGTTCTTCTGACTTCTTTACTTGATTCCTAAAGAGAATTCTATCTCCTCGTCCACATTCTTTTCAATGAAGAAGAAATGATGTGGTTTGCTGTGTAGGCAAAAATAATTGATATATTCTTGTCATGAAGCAGAACTCCAACAGCAATTTCTGAGCTCCAGTACAGCAGGAATATCAAGGAGAGAGGATATAACTGGAAGTTTCTGGTCTCTGAACTTTGTTGAAGATTAATTACCTGTGCAGTACAGGATGCAGGTGCTATAAAACTGCTTTCTTATAACTCTACAGTGTAGTGGGAGGGCTGTATCCTGAGGGGAGCTACAAGTATGTACGTGGTTTCTGGACTTGTAGGAGCTTTCATTTGTCTCTGAATGATTTATTCATAGAGGTGTTAATTTGAAAGATGAAAAAAATAAAAGATTTCGGAATTCTAACAAGGAATAAACAGAATATTTTACAGTATTTCTAGTTAATATCTAATGAGACAACACATCTTTCCCGGGATTCCTGCTTCTAACTCCAATTATTGTTAATGAGAATTTTATGCCCCCTGTATTAAAAAGAATAGGTTAGAGATACTTGCTCAAGCAACAACCTGTGGCTATATATTCATATTTAACACCTCAAAGGGAGATGAAGAGAGTGTGTGTGCCTGTATGTCTGTAATTAATATTGTCATCAATTATAAATATGGAAGCTTGCTGTAAATTTTGAATCTGGATTCAGGCAGGGACTCTGAGCATCCAGCATCCCAGGCTGTGAGCTATAGTGGTTAGTAGATAATCTCTCTGGGATGTATGCTGCATTTTTTATTACAAATCTTAGCTATGGCAGCGGCTACATTATTTCAGAGGTATAAAAAAGACATCTGCTACAAAATCCCATCAGCGTAGCCCATTTGACTGTATTGAGTACTGTATATGTTATATATATTTTACAACCTCAGGTTAATGGAACCACCTAACTGCTGATATAGGAAAATGTCTTTTATGCTTATAGTGAAATATTGACAAATCCATAGCAAGTTACTGAAAGTCACGTGTGGTTACTCAAGTTTGACCAAACAAAAAAGAATTCTTGTCTAATTAGATGTTAATCTAATGGGATTAGAGATGATGCAAGAAATCTTAGATTCCTTAATTAAGGTAAATGTAAAAATGATAATTTATTATTTAAAACCACTACCTTCCTTTGAACTGATGGTCTGCACCAATAACTGGTTTCATTGAGTTGGCACCTATAATTACTGTATTTCCACCTAACTATGCACACAGATTTATTTAGAATGAGCTGTTCGCTAGGGACGACCTTGAGCTATAAGTGAAGATGTTTCCTTTGCAGTTATATTGTTACTTTCTTCAGGGAAAAAGAAAACAAACAACCAAACAAGAAAAAACAACTAATGTAGAAACAATCAAAAACTCACCTGATGTTAAATAGTTTGAGCTGAGTATAAGCGAAATTCAGACAATGTGGACATGTACACAGTCCGCCATTAAGGTTTTTTTACATCATTTACTGATATCTATAGACAAGCAGTTGTCTTTATACGCTTGAAGAATGCCATTTTCAGCACAGTTATTTACATTAATATACAATGTAATCTATAAAAATACAGTATTTCACATTTTGTATGCTTGCCAGATTCTTCTAAAAGAAATAAAAAGCTGCTTTTCCCCCTCTGATTCAAAATAGAAGTCTTTGGCATATGGAGAAAAAACAAACACACACTTTCATAGAGAATCCAAGGGGGTATTCTGTGCATTTGTATCTATATTTGAATTCAGTGATGTTTAAGCATTGACCTTTCTATAAAAGCAGCAGACAAAGGATGTTGTCTTGTAGTAGTGGTATGGCACAACCTCTGAAAGTGCAGTTCCCACTCTGCTATTGGTTGCTAAGTATCCGTTTATTTCTATCTAGAAAATATAACAGGGGGCTAGTCAAGCAAGTTGTGCTTCTCAGTCCTTCACATAGCCCACTAAGTACTTTGGTTTTTATTAAGCTCTCTGAGCATCTGGAAGTTCTTCGTGATTGTCTTGAACCTGGTAAATATTTTCAGCTCTGAGCAACTCAATAGTTTCTTATCTGTGCTGAAAGAATCCATCTCTCCTGTTAAATCCTTCTACTGTTGGTGTTTTCCGAGGAATCTAGTCTGATGGGTGTGCTGTAAATAAGACAAAGGTGCAGCTGAATGATCTTATTTTCTATGTTACAAGAACAGTGTTGCCAGAAAGAGGCAAGTAGGAATAATGGCCTTTACTTAAGACAGACAGCCTTAACAGCAAGTGCTTTGATAGTGAGGAAATCCAGTTCATTTTGCAGTAGTTTTGAAACACGCTTATGTCATGAAAGAATGCTCATCATTGGCTCCGCGAGCTAGAATACAAGGAATGAGTTAAGGTTAGGCTTTCTACTCCCTTTCCTGAATAGGGCAGCTTTAACGATGCATTAATACAGACTAAGAATATTATCCTTTGTCAGCTTAATATTTAAAATACTGATCTTAATCTATTTTACTAATCTACCTAGGGAAATTTGATCTTTGCTCTGAGAACTGGGCTTGTATCTTACAGTTACTGGTCAAAGAATATAGTTTAGAAATAGTCCTTCAAATTGGGGCTATTGCCTGTTCTCATCCGTCAACCCTTTGTTTCAGGATCATCACTTGTTTTAGGATTTAGGATGTCAACTGCCTATTTTCCACATGTTCCTTTTACGTGACCAGTATATATTGAGGTTGTGTAGAAATATTTTTCCTGGCTAAGTGTAGGTTATTGAATGAAAGAACATCAAATTGTCCCATATTTAAGTAACTTTTGAGAATCTTGATTGACTTTTGAAGCTATTCTCACAATCTGGATTAGCTGCTGGCAAGAGATTATTGACTTTGGGAACAACCTGAAAGACTGTATTTATTAAGATTTGGCATGGGTGGGAAAATAATATTTCACAAGAGAACATTTGTGTATTGAAAGGAAGGAGAGCAGGTGACTGGGGATCCTAGTAGAGCTATAAAAGCTGGATAAATTCTAATGTTGCTATTGAAAGGATGTCGCTTTACCCACTATAGATGTCATGAGAACTGTTGTCACATTTTAGTGAGCAGTAAGCTACAGGAAAGCAGTATTTGGGTGCATCCTCTTGACAGAAAAGTTCATAGCACATGAAACTGTGTGTTCTACAGAAGCACTGAACTGGATACTAAGATGTAGTGTAAAAAGCCACAATTTTAAGGAAAGTTGCACACAAACAATTTTTGTAAAGGCAAAGCTGTCACCCTACAGTGACTTACAACTAGATAATTAAAGGAAATGATTGGTACAAGATTTATTCTAATTTTCAAATCCTGTGAGCTCATTTTCACACATAATGAATTGAATTGTGTAATAATACCTAATTTTGTACTTGAAAGGTAGAAATAGCCAAAGTAAATCTGTCTTCTTTTTCAGCAATCTGAGTGCTCAGCATTAGTTCCTTCTAGGGTAAGTGAAGGAAATGCCATAATGCCTAATTCTAGAGCACTTTGCCTATTGGGAAACATTCTTTCTAATGTCCACGAGAGAAGTTGACTTATTCACTGAAGAACCAGGGTTGAAATCTCGTTTTATTTTTTTTTAAATCTCATCTAATGCAGCCATAGACATCCTCTTTATGCATACAAATGTCTAAATCCTTTTTGAAGCTTGCTAAATTTTTGTTCTTAATAATACCTCCAGGAAAACTGCCACAGGTTAATTACTTGCTGTGTTGAAATATTTGTCTCCTTCTCTTCAAAAATTGCTTGTGTTCAACATCAGTGGTTTGGTTTTGTGCTATAAATTGCAGTAGATAGTAATATCCAATTTGCATTCACTTTTTTTATTATTTTGTATATATTTATGTTGGGCTTATATGCCTTTCATTTCTCAGTCACACAGCACAAGACTTTTGAAGCTCTTCTTCCGTATTCTAAATCTTTCCATTTCAGTTGCAAATGTGTTTCCTTAATACTTATACTTTAGCAGTGAACTGGACTGAGGATAAGCTGTAACTCACCAATCATTCTGTTTTCTCCCAGTAATGGAGTTAACTGCTGAAATTCAATCATGTGCTTCACTGACATTTAAAATAGAGAAAAATTTCCAGTTCTATCCAAACATATTCCATTACAGTGATCTGATCACTTCTAATTTATTCTTCTGTTGTGGACCATTCAGAACCTGTCTTATTTGAATATACTGGAAAAGCGTTTCCTGTTTTATTATTGTGAAATTATTTTAGTTTTCTGTTGCTTGCTGTTGTTTACTTTCCCTCTGGTTAGTATTATTGTTAAGTTCTGTTGTGCTTGTTTCAGCAGTTTTCCTTCGATCTAGAGAGGAAGGTGTGTGTTTCAATGCAAGTTTTGTTATATTTTCATGGGTATTGGTAGTGCTTGCTATCACAGAGTGCTTAAGCAGTCTGTAGAAATCAGCAAATTTTAACAGCAAATAGCATGTTGCTGAACAAGATTAATGAAGTACTGAAAAATAAACAAAAGGATGGAAAGAATCTCACTTAGAACTACAGATTGACTAAAACAGCTCAGTTTCAGGATTAAATTCAAGAGGATACCTAATTTGCTACTCATTTCTTTAGAAGGCTGAGTCCTTCAAATATGATGAGCATTTGGAAGCATCGTATATTAATCCTTGATTGTTTTTGAGGACAAAAGCAGAGATGAAGCACTTCCCCAATAAACCTGACCATATGGTTACACTGACATACTGAGAACATGCTGTGCAATCTCTAGCATCTGAGACCTCCAAGATACTATTATTAGTATCTCCATTTTCAGTACTCCTTAACTAGAAATATTGTTTAAGTATTTTGGGTTGCTGATGATCCTGGCTGGGAGAGTAAGAAGATATGGTGGTGATGCTGCTAACTTGAGCATTGCCTGAGAAGATGCCAACTTTCATTCTGTATACAGTCAGAGAAGTTGTCACTTTTCACAGAGGTGGAGGCTCATTCTATTTAGTCAGCAATTTTTGTGTGCATCTGTACAGTCTGAATTGAATTTGCAACATAGAGTTTTTGCCTTACAATGTTTCTGTAAGTAATTGTTTCAAGTACAGTTGGAACTTTATATGGAAAAGGATACAAACAGCAAGAGGCAAATTTAATCTCCTTAGTTGACTGAGGCTATGGATTTATGATTGCCTT